AATTCTGAATGAATATTTAAGTCTACATTAAAACTTTAAAAGTCAACAGTAACAACAATATACACATATATATATGCACACATATACGTAGACACACGCACACATATATGTATATATCCCCCTGGAAGTGTCAAGCTAGCAGTGTATTGAAAGTGGAAGTGAAGTGGAAAAGCAAAGATGGGAATAGATTTGGATGACATTCACAGAACCACAGAACCATTAAGATCAGACAAGACATCTAAAATCATCTGCTCCAACCATCCACCTACCACCACTATCACCCACTAAACCATGTAGCTAAGTACTACATCTACCCTTTGCTGAAATGCCTCGAGGCACAGCCAGCCCACCACTTCCCTGGGCAGCCTGTGCCAATGCCTCACCACTCTTCTGAGAAGAAATTCTTCCTAATATCCAGTGAGAACATGTTCAACTTCATATGGGTTTTGTTTGTCTCACATGCTGGACAACACCTACATGGTATCCTAAATCATCTCCCTCATTTATGACTACTTCAACACATCTGAGAGCTGAAAGCAATCACTATCTAGGATGGCTCAGAAATTCTGTTTGCTAATCATCATAGTGGAAGAAGCTACTTAATCCAATTCTGTTTTTTTGAAGCTAACTGTGCCCTTCAACAGTCAAAAAAAAAAAGTATCCCTCTCTATGCAACGTTACGACCATACAGTATGCGCAGAGAAAAGAAGTGCAGTATCACTCTGGTAACCTATAATCTTCTTTGCTTATATGTAAGTTCATTTCTGTCACAAACAAGATTATAGGTTTAAAATATATAAATAAAAAATATTAAAGTTTTTAGCAATTTCAACGTACCTAAATAGTTCTTGAAGAAAGAACAGGTCACTATTTTAACTTTGATAAAGAACTCAAAGACAGTAAGCTGATGCACAACTGCAAGTTCAATTCTTGCTGTTACATCTTTCTTTTTCTAACCTAATTTAGTTATATTCTGACATCCTCTGTATCAGTTTCCATTCTTCATTCCTTCCTTTGCATCCGGGTTGCTATCCTTTCAGAGCTGACTGTCCCTTCTCCCAGCTGTACCATCTGCTTTCCTCCCGCTCAGCCTGCTCACCCTGTCGTCATCCCATCACATCACTCCAGCTTTTCCCATCCCAGAGCACCTGCCACCCTGTCCCAGTCACACAGATGTACTCTGTATTTGAGATATGAAGGAAGCCACGTGTATTAAGCCTCAGGTTTCTTCCAATTCCATGTGTACAACAATCTTCCATTAGTTGCATCCCTATTTTTCAGCAAGGTAATAACAGCTCACAGCAGACATCAACTTAATGGAAGACCATAGGCTGCAAAGAGTTCATAGTAACCACCTACATTGAATAATTTCTCCAACAACTGTAAGCCAAGAAAGAACTTCCCACAAGTGGGCCCTGGAAGGAGGCAAGAAAAGGACAAGCAGAGGGAACCCTCTGCCCTCAAACCCACCCTGCAGCCCTGGAGGACTCTGCAGCACCACGTGATGCCCAGATAACAAAAACGACCTCAGTGGGCAGCTTTGGAAGCTGTTTCCCAAGCCAGCTTTCAAACCAGCTGCTCGGCCTATGTTCAGAAATAACTCCCATGGAGTTAAGAATGTGCTGAAAAGCAAACAAACAAGGGAAAGGGACGACAACAGACATTTGTACAGTCATTTCAGATCTTCTCAAAACACAAGAGTTCACAGCTCCTCCCTCAGGGCCAACCTATATCCTCACCACTGTTACTGATGGAAGTTTTAGTAAAACCAGAAGCATCACATGGGGAACATTAGTGATTTGGCTTTTAATCTCATTGCATTAAACAAGGCTAGCGTTTTGTCTCCAAAAATCTTTTTAAAATCCTTCCCCTGCTGTTCCCTTAACCTGCTTTTTAAGTCTCTACCCCCCTAATTTAAATTATCAACTTTGCCTTCCATCTCTTAGCCTGAGCTGTTTTCTAACAAGGATGAAGGAAATGAGAAGCAAAAAAAACAATTTGCAGAGAGGAAGAGATAAATCTGAAATAATACAGTGCGGTATGCTGTAGCTTCCCATTTGAAAATGTATAATTTAGAATTCTGTTTTCTGCCTAGAAAATAGGAAAGGGAATCCCAGGTGCATGCAAATGACTGCAACATGCAGCCCCAGTGAACTCCGAGGGGAGAAGTGAGTGTTCAGCACAGTATGAGGGAGACGTGAGCACAAGTTCCAATGACCTCAGCTGTGGGCCCAATTTATTAGAATTTACCTCTCATTAAGAGCTAAAAAGTGAGCTGAAATATCACTAGCTGTCCAAAATTTGGCACAGTCATTAATTTCTAATAAGGACTGTAATTGGCTGTACCATAAGCAATATATACTTGCCTGGCATCCAAATATTCTCTCATGGGAGTTATTCTTATGTAGCGGTTAGAGCCAGAATGATCGTATAAACTAACCTGAATAAAGCATGTTGGAGTTTTTCAGTCTGCTTCAGTATAAAACAGAAGAAATTTAAGTGTTCAGTTTTAACCAGTTGTGGCTATTTCCCTCTTAGTGCTATTAGAGTCAGCCACTCAGCTACACGTGGAGCAATTCACTCATGCAGACTAACTCACCAGTCGTGTTCTGCCACACGCTTTAATGTTGGTTCTCAGATACAGGTTATGGAGGTTATGTCTCATTCAGGGCTATTCTAGACCTGGCAAATGCATGTCCTGTCCCATAAAAGAGTTAATACAGTAAGCAAGTTATTTTATTTTTAAACTGACATTTTCAACAAGAAAAAAAAAAGGAATACTTTGTAATTAACTGGAAATTAGCAGGTGGTCTTAAAAAATGCAATATTGTTGGATTATTGAAGATGTTTATATAACTGAAAAAAAGTTTGAGTGCTAATATTGACATTCTGGTTTCTCTGCCAAGAGAACAAAGTAGGCCTAATTTTCACTTGACTGTCTCCTTTTTCCACATGTAAAGGCAAATTAAACAGTGCTATAGCTAGGGCTGTCTGTGCATTAGTTGCTCTCAGGCTGGTAGGCACCATATTTTTCTCCTCCGTTTGTAGTATTTTGAATATTTCTTGTTCTTTTAAAACTCAGATGTAATTCACTATGTTCTGAAACCACTAACTTGAACGTGGAGATTTTCCCTTCTCATTACAGAGGATGAAACAGAGCAACCAAACATATCCTTGATGTGAATACGGGCCTATTATACCAACTAAAAAAATAAAATAAAAAAGAATTGATCATTCTATAGAATACGCGTAAAGAAGTTATATGAAGAACAGATGTTGTATCCCCATGAATCTGGCATTCCTATGCGTTCAACAGCTTCAATCACAGACATTCGATCATTCTGAAATTTTGCATTTAAAGGCTCAGAAACAATTAACCTTTCAAATTCTCCCTTCTCAAGGACATGATTTCAGATACGTCTGGTATTGCTTTTGAAGAATTGAAGTTGTAACACATAATTTTTTAGTCTGTTTGCAAGAACATTAAAAAAGCAGATCATCTCCCTAGCAAAACAAAACAAAACCACTATAATAATTCATGTTCATATATATGTTCATATACCACTGTAATAATTCATGGTTGGAATCAAGCCTATTGTGAGATTCTGCTTTGCCACTGATTTTATTCCTCTTAATAAGCTGTATCAACCCTAATTCCATTTCTGTAATGCATACTGAACAGTCAGCAGTGATACAATATTCTCATCCCTATAGTATTTTCAAATAATATATTTGACAGACGATCTTCCTAATAGCTTGTACTTGCCATAAAAAGTAAAGGAGAAGGCTTAAATAGTAAGATTTCCTAAGACAGAAAGACATTCATATGCCAGAGACATTCCAAAACTGACAACGATATAAAAATATCCAGATCAGTTGGTGTAAGGCTATGGTAAAGCTGAGAACAAGTGTCACACAAACTGGAACTATGTAATATCTGTACCGGTATCAAATCAGGTACCAAAACCAAGTTATCATGTAAGTCTGTAAAAGTGTGATTTAATATCCATGCATCCTGAATTTAAAATAGTTATGCCAAAGTAAAGGTCCAAGGACCAAAAAATAAAAAAATACATAGCTTTTGTTTTCATTGACCAAAAAGCACTAATACACACACAGTAAATTCTAACAGCATTCTATAAATGTGAGACAGTGGAAAGTCCATCACTGCATCATTGCCTTCTTGAGGACTAAAAGTTCCTGTCATCCTTTGCCCAGCCCTACACTGGCACATGTGTTCTGGAAGTCTGTTTCCTCATTGAGCATGTTGAGCAGGCTGTTTCTCCCAGCTTTTCCAAATCACAGAATGGCTTAGCTCAGAAGAGACCTTAAAGATCACCCAGCTCCAATCCTCCTGCCATGGGCAGGGCTGCCGCTCACTGGATAAGACTGCCCAGAGCCCAGCCAACCTGGCCTTGAACACCTCCAAGGTGTGTCCCATTGCGCGACTAAGGGCATCACTCACACCGTGCTCCGGCGCCACTTTCCCCCCCACACCTTTTGCTCAGTATGGAGGTAAAAAATCTGCAACAAGTTTACAATCATACTCAGTAATATTATTAACGCTGTCAGCCTCCAGCCCAGCAATTCCTTAGCTTTTCAGCGCTTGTCTCTCCAGCTACAACGCCCTAGTTTACTCGCAGTTCATAAGGACCCAGCGTTTGACAGCAATACCGTGCGACACAAGGAACAAACGAGCAATAAGGAACGACCCAGCACTACAAAGACTCGCCCGCTCGTCCCGCAGGCGACCTACGTGGCAGCCCGCAACAGCACAGCAGAGCTCGGCGGCACCGAGCCCCAGCCCGGCGAAACGGAGGCTCGGTGGGGGGGTGGGGCTGGGAGCCCTCCGGCCGCCACATCAGCGTCGGCTCCCGGCCCACATCCGCTGCGGACGGCGCTGCCCCGGGGCGCTCTGCGGGACTTCAGGAGCCACCCGCTCGCCCCGGCTCCCCGGGGAGGGCTGCCCGCCGCCCCGGCCGCCCGCTGCCCGCACTCACCACCTCCCGTGCCCGCCCGGTGAAGTCGCTCCTGGAGCGGGCAGCGCTGCGCTTGAGCAGCTCATCCCGGGCGCTGTCGCCGGCCGCCACCCCCAACGCCTTGTTGCGGGTCTTCACCGTCTTCACGCTGGCTTTGAAGAGCAGGGTGATGTCTACCGCCATGGCGGCCGGTCCGGCCCCGTCAGCCGGTGCCTCCGCGCAGTGCCTTCCCCGAGCAACGCGGCCCCGCGCAGCGCGTTCCGTTCTGCCGGCGGCAGCGGGGCGTGCGCCGGTAAGGGAGCTGCGGGGAGCTGCTGTGCGGGGCTCCTGCGCTGCTGCCTCCCATCGCAGAGCGAAAGCTTGCAGAATAAAATGTATATTCCAGAGAAACTCTGACGTCTGGATCACCGAGCTCTGGTGTCGCGGCAGGTGTCACCAGGTGGTGCTGTTAGACAGAGTCATCCAAGCTGTCAGCCTGAGAATTCAGTCTCGGAAAGAAGAGTTAATTAAGGCTGATTAATGGGTTTCACCAGATTTGCACCGGGGATTGGTGCTGCTGTGAGATTTCCAGAGGAAATGACCATACTTGTATTGTATTGATTATTGGTTATTTTATAGAATCATAGAATCATTAAAGTCAGAAAGGACCCTTAAAGGCCATCTAGTCCAGCAATAGTTCTAGTTCTGCAATGAACAAGAACATCTACAGCTCTATTGGATTGCTCAGAGCCTGGTCCAGCCTGAGCTTGAGTGTCTCCAGAAACAGGGCAGCCACCACCTCTCTGGGCAACCTCTGCCAGTTCCTGACCACCCTCACTCTAGGAGACTTTTCCCTTGTACCCAATCTAAATCTCTCTTATTTTAGTTTAAAATAATTTCCTCTTGTTCTTTTACGACAGATGCTGCGAAAGAGTCTGTCTCCTTTCTTACAGCCCTTCTTTAGATGCTTAAAGGCCACTACCAGGTCTCCCTGGAGCCTTCTCTTCTTCAGGCTGAACAGCCTCAGCTTTCTCAGCCTGTGCTTGTAGGAGAGGCATTCCATCCCTTGGAGCACTTTTGTAGCCCACTTCTGGACACACTCCAATAGGTCCACATCTCTCTTGTGCTGAGGACTCCACATCTGGATGCAGTATCCAAGTGAGGTCTCAGCAGTGTAGAGGACCTCTGCTGGCCACACTTCTATTAATGCAGCCCAGGATACAGTTGGCTTTCTGGGCTGCAAGGGCAAATTGCTTACTCATGTCTGGTTTCCCATCCACCAGGACCCTCATGTCCTTTTCAACAGAGCTGTGTTTAATTCTTTTGTCCTCCAGCCTGTATTAATAGTGGGGTTGCCACAATCCAGGTGCAAGACCTTGCACTTGGATTCGTTGAGCCACATGAGGTTCATGCTCATGTCTTTCTAGGTCTCTCTGGAGAACTGTGTTTCTTCTTGAACACAATAGATAGAAGACTTCAATACACCTGCAATGCGTAACAGTTATTTTTATGGCAGGATGCTGTCTGTTAAGGCCCTTGAGATCTGCTGCCATCCCACACTTGGACAGCATCACTTGTACCCCAAGAACAAACCCTGAAGGGAGCTACAATGCACAGCTATTGCTGATTTAACTGAATCAGAAGAAAACTTTCTGAAATACTCTTTGCTATTATTTTTATTCTGGCAATTTCATTACCATGTTCTGTGCAGGAGAAAAGTGACCAGAAAGGAAATTGTGTGGCACAGTGGTGAAAACTTCTGACCAAATAACTAGTGGTGGTGGTGTGTGTATGCTCTGGGATCCTGTAGACACTGCATGATTTTAACTGCTCTCGCTGATTCAAAGTAAGCTCCCCGAAGCACTCCCCAAAGAAAAAAAAATATCAAAATCCTGCCTTTCCCCCATCAATCTGGAACTTAACCAGCTAGTGCTGTTTTCATGTCTGCTTCAGAGCATCAAGACCTCTTCTGCTGATAATTACTACTTTGCTTTCAGTTTACTTCAATCTTAGCAATTGGTTTTAAGTTCCTTCACAGCTATATTGTGATTAGTATTCATTCATACTCTGTTGTTGTTCTATTCTAAATCGTGTTTTGTTACACTATGGATATGTATTTCTAATTCATGATCATCCATCATCCATTGGTTATTTCATAGAATCATAGAATCATTAAAGTTGGAAAGGACCTTTAAAGGCCATCTAGTCCAGCTCCCCTGCAATGAACAGGGACACCTACAGCTCCATCAGGTTTAATTAGAAATTCATCAGATTCTAAGCTTCATCTTACCTTCCTGGCTTTAGAAACAACAACTTACCAGTGTCTGTGTTACTCATTCTCTAAAGAAATTTAGGAAATTAAAAATAAAAGGAATACTCCATGCAATTTTGGATGAAAACAGATGAAAACAAACAAAACAAAACAAAAAAAAACCTTCAGTAAAGTAAATTTCAACAGACATACTGTAGTTTACCTCCCAATTTGCGAAGATTTATACTCACTGAACCACAATGAGTACTGTGAATACTCCCACTGAGGTCGATGGAGACACACATGGTGCACACAGTTAAGTACATAATGCTTTTATCAGATCAGGACCTTGGCTCCAAATTCTTTGGAGACATGATTGTGTCTTTATTGCTAGTTTTATTTGTGCTTATTTATTTGTGTTTATGTCCACAAATGTGTGGTACATGTGTGACCAGTAGTTACTGAAAACCCCAAAGCAGTAATAGGAGTATTAGACAACCAGTTTTGAACCTCAGCACTTCTAGAGCTCCCATTCAGGCACAAGGAAATAAGTAGAGACACATTTTATAAGAAACACAGTATTAAAATTCCAAGTAGCTGATCTCATCTCTCTGAAATGGACTGAACAGTTGATCTGGTAAAGGCAAAAGTTTAAAATACCTTTTCAGTGTGAAAGAAGCTTGCTCTCAAATGGTCTAACTCATTAGGTATATAATACCCAGGCCTCTGCTATAGAGATAAATAGATAGCTTTGAAGATTGCAATTACTTTAAAATCAGTTGCTAAGAAGTGGTGCCCACCACTTTTATTTGAACTTGATCCTTGCTTCCTGTATACAGTAACTACATCTACTCAGTAGTTATTTGCACTTCCACAACCACCTTGTTTTGAAAGTTTAAATCTTGCTTTGGAGCAGATAGGTTTCAGCAGTACATGCTAGAGCTTCCTGTAATTGCTAAAAAGCTAACTTTGAAATTTAAGATTTTAAGATTGGAGTAAAATTCCAAAGCACACACAAAGGGCTACAGTGGCACCTCAATCAATGCAGGTAAATCTGTAAGACCACATGCACTGTGCACCCACTCATGCCGCAGCAGATGTCTGGAAGAGGAAAAATTAGGAGCCTGCAAATTACAACAGTTTTATTTGCAGTCTAAGAACAGCACACTGATCATCAATGTACCTACTTAACTGCTATGTCCAGTAAAATGCCCTGGCAAACCTGCCAGTGAAAAGGAGGCCAAAGCTCTCATACGGTTATCAATGATTATGCCTATTAAACAGGAACTAGTGGGGTTCGTCTCTGCTCAGAGACACGTAACTCCTCAGTGCATAAATTCTGTCTGTGTAAGAGATAGATAAAATGGATAAAGCTCCTGAACTTCTTCCCTTCAGATGCACTCTGGCTACAGGGTCCTAATTTGGCGCAGACAACAGAAAGCTCTATGCTGTACATTTTATACATTTTATATTTTTTCTGGAATAAAACCAGTAACTTTTTTATGTGATGGCGATGTTACAAACAAAACAAATTACCAAAAGGAAGACAATTTGCTTACATTGCACATTTGCAACTGAGACAAATCAAAAAGGGAGAAAATTTATTTGATGGTCATATGAACTTTCAAGTCGGTAGCATGTATTCTACTGGCTTGAACTCAAAGTAAATATAACAAATTTGTGGATATGTGAAGAAACCTTTGGCATTTAAAAGAAGTGGAAGACAGTAGAACCTGCCCAAGGAAAGTATGCCAACTGTATAAAATGGTGAAAAGTTCTCTGGAAACAATGGATGTAAACTGCCAGGCAGTAATACACAAGTATTACTGTCTGCGGCAACAAATATTGACTGCCACAAGATGGTTCAATTGGCAGTAACCTGAAGGTTCTGTTACTCCTCTTGAAACTAAACCATCACACCAAAATTCACAGACACACACACACAAACAAACAAACAAAAAAACCACCCACATAATCACCCCAAAATTAATAAGGAGCTTAACTCTTAGTGATATTTGAATCTGATTCTAATTATTCATGGAGCACTCAATTTTAGTAAGTTTTGGGTGTCAGGACCCAGTAACAGCCCTGCTTGCCCCTATCCAGCCTTCCATGGGTCTTTTCCCAACCCTGCACATGTCCCAGAAGCCTATTTCATGTCCCCAGGGTCATCAGTCGTCAGTCCCTGCCCCAGTGACTCTGAAGGATGTCCATGGACATCCAGCCAGGCCCAAAACAAAGACTCATCCCAGCCTGGCTTCAGATTCCTATCCCTAGGAATGCGGCTGATGAGCTGAGGGTGCCCCAAGCACCCTGCTCCGCTCGCTGTGTGGCACTGGGACAGGCTTTAATTGGCCAGGCCCTGCCATAAAGATTGTGGTGTCCGTCAGTCTCCCCATTACTCAGAAAGCAGCTGGACCCCACTCTGCCCTGATAATTGTGCATCCCAATCTCATCATTATGGCTGTCATAATTAGAACAGATAAAGACAGTAATATCCATGGCAATTATTTCCCACAGCCAGCACATATACCTGGAAAAAGTCTATAGACACAGTGCATTCATTGTCTTAAATTTTGCTGTAGAGATTTGAGCTTGTTCAGAGCCTCTGGGAGCTATACACTTGTAGAGGAATATATAGCCTACCTCCTTTGAGAACTTTCCATACCCTCACAGATTCTTGCAACCTCTTTGGCTTCTGCAAAGCTCTGCAGGGAAATAGTAAACCTGGCACTTACTCAAAGTTCAGTCTGCTGAATTCTGTATGAAACTGCTGCAGAGACTCTCAAAGTCACACTGTTCTTACTTAGTTCCACAGCATTAGTCAACATTTGTCTAAAAGAGCTCTGCCTCTACATCAAGGAATGAGGCAATATGTTGTCTGCCAGGCAAAAAAGGAAGAACAATAGAAATTGAGATTTTTTTTAATAACAAAAAATACACATACAGTAACAAAAGGCATTTTTTCCCACATGTGTAGATAATCATAA